CACCTTTGTAGCAAAAAAGTGCCATGCAGTAATGGGTTAGCGCGTCACACAGTACCCACAGCTTCACTCCCCACCTGTGATGTTTTTTTTTTGGGAGGTATTGGGTCAAGCCAATCCGCTTTTTTGTCCCCACTAACGACTCATCGACAGATAGTTTCTGGTAGGGTACATAGTAAAACTTGGCTAACCGGTTCAGATGGTCGATGAGTGGTTGAAATCTTCCGCATGGGTCATAGCCCGGTTCGCCATGTTTCACAAGTTTGCTGCCATCAACCAAATGAAAAAATTTTAAGATAAGTTCAAACCGTGTTCGAGAAAACATTTTTGCAAACCAAGGAGTGGACAGGGACGATGGCTGGCTCCAATAGCTTCTGATTGAAGGCTTCCGGATTATGCCCATGTTTATAATAACAGCAAGGAAGCCTTTGAACTCCTCAGAGGTTAAATTTACCCAAGATCTCAATGTACTCTGAGGTGACAAGCCATGTTCAGCAGATCGCAAGAAATTTGTAGCGTATCTGTTTGTCTCTACTACAAATTTTGCTATCAATTCAGTAGTAAAAAACAGAGAGAAATAGGCAATTGGCGAGGAGTTTCTGGGTGGGCAATGCTTAGGACCTGGGACTTCATTGAAAGTGAAGTTGTGCTGGTAACCCGGATCATTATCCTCCTCGAGTTCATCCCAGTCACTGGACTCAGGTTCAACAGGTCTTCGCCTACTACGATTTGCTTGAGTCTGACTTCTTCCTCTCCCTCTGTGTGAACCCCTGCCTCTAGGCCTAGGCCTAGCACAATCCCTAGCAGTTTGAGTACCGGTATCTGTTGGCAAATCTGGTATAGCATCAGTAGGTCTAGCTTCTTCTGTAGGCATATCTAGGCCAAATCTATTGTCACTGCTAGTTGATGGTTGGCCTAAATTAAAATCAATTACTTCTGGAGGCAAATCTGCCAGAGGAAGGACATCATCAATGTCTTCTTCATCAGAGGAAAACATATGAGGTGATCTGATCGGTCTTTGCAAAAAACCTAGTCTAGGCCTACCACTATTTTCCGGGCTATATGTCGGGTCTTCATCCGTGTCGTCAACTAGTTCTGAGGAGGATGAATCAGCATCAGAACTTGCAATATTGTCACTGAAGTCAGAGTCATCACTGTTCTTGTCGGCAGAATATACATTCAAACCTGCTTCTTGAATGTTACACAACAGAGTGTTTTCACTAACAGGAGATTCTGCCCTAGTTCTTTTTTTACTCATATTTGAGACAAATAAAAACAGTCAACATGCAAGAAATAAAGGATAAAGAACTTATAGAAAGGAACTAGGCCTAAGTTAGTTAGTTAGTTATGAAAATAGGTTTCCATGTCCATGCAAGGGCTATAGCATGCACCCAAATAATTATGCAGTTACAGACGTAAGTTCATAGTTGATTACCATTATGATGTTTTGATAAACTCACTAAAAGAATAATAAAACTTTTGAAATTAACTTCAAACAACACCAATCTGTAGTAAAAATTACGGTATCCACGTAACAAAACAATAACAAACACCGGCAGTTACTCAAATAACAAACAACAACAAACAACAGAGTTGCTGACTCGTGAGACAGCTGAGCGATACAGACGACACAGCCTGCCGATATCGTTTTAGAAACAATAACAAATACTATACGGATGACTCACTATAAATACTATATATTGGATGATCTACATAAAATATCACTTTGGTTCAGTTGCAACAAACTTTGTCTAAATGTTCCTAAAACAATCTTTATCAATTTTTCTTTATCCCAGTCAAATGTTTTTAATGCACCTTTAATTTTCCATAAAACAGATTGTAATAAAACTAGTTGCTTATGTGATTCTATAAAACAATGTAATGTTACCAAATATCTAGGTGTACTTTTGGATGAAAATCTATCATGGAAGATGCATGTAAATAATTTAAAGAATTCATTACGTTACTCACTTAGATCTTTTTTCCACCTCAAATATTGCTGTCCTCTTCCCATCTTAAAACAGGTTTACCACTCTTTAATCAATTCTAAGCTTGAATATGGAATTTCTTTGTATGGAGGTGCCTATGTGTCGAATTTAAAATCTTTAATAACTTTACAGAAGAAATTTGTCAGATTAATATGTAATGTAAATTTTTATTCTCATTCTCTACCTTTATTTGTAAGTCATAATATCCTTCCCTTCAGATATTTATATATTTTTAAAGTATTGACTATATTTTTCAAATTAAGTGGTAATGCAGGACCAACAGTTGATAACATTCACAAAATATTCAACTAGACAAACTGCACATAACATTCTACGTTTACCCAAACCAAACTGTACCCTGTTTAAGAAGTGTTTTATTTATTTATCAATTAAAATTTTTAATGTCATTCCTGTTTCTGTAAAGCAGAGTAGGTCATTTAGTGTTTTTAAGAAATCTTTGAAAAAGTGGCTATTAACCAAGTCATATGATGAAATAGAACAGTTGTATTCTTAATAATATTAGTAAGTAATGTCTAGCTCAATGTATTTGCTTTATCTTTGTAAGTATCTGTATTTCAGAGTCTGGGTTTTCATTGTTTCCTTCAATTTCTTAAAATGTTCTCATTATTATAGTTACATACTTTTCGTTTTACTTCCTAGATATTGGTGAATTTTGTTTTCTTTGTTGTCTTTTCTACAAAAGTTATTGGACTAAAGGTAAATTTAATTTATAATTCATTTTGTTACCCTTTTCAGAGAATTTTTTTGTTATTGTTAAGTATTAGTTGAGACTCCCGCCCACACACAGAAGTTTTAATCTTCTTTGGGTGTGTATATTTCTTCGCAAGTTGAAGCAAACTGTTTTTATTTAATTAATTAACAATAAGTTTTTATTACATTGTAAAATAATTTGTTTTTTATAGATCTTTGTAATTTTATTGTATTACTTGTGGAGAAATAAAGATTTATTATTATTATTATTACTATATAAAATTAAAATTGACAAAATATTACTTGTAATATATTTTATTTATGCTTTGGCTACGCAATGACGTTTTCTGATACACAAAATACGTTAAAATAGCGCTGTACTATATAAAATAGTAGATGGCCGATATATCGGCATATTGTCTTTCTGCTCATGACCTTGGGGTGCCGATTTATCGGCACTGTGTCATTTTCAGCACAATATTGACATGCCGATAAATCGGCACTTGGGGCTCAAAGGGTTAACATCATCAGTTAGTCCAGCACTTTCACAAATTTGGACTCTACCTAGTTACAATTTGGGGCCGGAGACTTGTGAGTCTACTAGTGATGGACGAGACTAGATTTTTCACTTCGAGACGAGACAAGATTTTTTTAATTCCTGCGGGACGGGATTTTTTTTTGAGGAAATTTAATGAAAAGTTATAAAAAATTAATATCTACTTTTTAAGTTCAGAAATATTTACAAGTTTTAAAAACTTGACAAAAAATAGACAAAAATATTTAACATCTTTTATTGCATAGGAAACATGGAGATATCAGTTAGTATATAGTTCAACTTTGAAAAATATAAAAAACAACAATATTACTAGTTAAGAATCAAGTAATAATTTCTAAGTCTTGTGTTATTTCTAGATTTATTTTGAAGTGACTTATTTTTACTTAGTAAAACATGTCTCACACTGCTTACACTAACAAAACTTCTCGTCATTTGCAACTTCTCAAAAATTATAATACTATTGAAGCAATATTTCCATGTAAAGAATAAATAATTAAATATAAAATTCGCTTTCGTAAAGTTTTTTTTTAAATTTGTAAATTAAAATTTTTTTTAAATTCCAATTTCTTTTTTATTTCTTAAATTTTTTAATTCTTAAAATAAAATAAAAAATTAAATTTAAAAAATTTTAAAAAACTAAAATTTGAAAAATTAAAAAAAACTAAAATTTTAAGAATTTAAAAAACTTTAAAATTTTAAGAATTTAAAAAGATTTTATAGTTTTAAAAATAACAACAAATTTTAATTTTAATATTAAAAAAAAGTAATTAAAGATTTTTTTAAATCTCGTCTCGAAAATATCCCTTTAGTATTTCAATCCCGCCCGAAGCTTCGAGATAAAAAAAAATCTCGAAGTTTCGGGTCTTGTCTATCACTAGAGTCTACTGTACATAAGTAACAATAGGTATAAAGAGTTTATTTTTTTGTGTTAAAATTTAGTCATACAGTTCTGTACGGGGGTTTCCCTTTGAATGAGAGTTATTATGCTGTTTATGAGTCAAAACACTTGAATTCTATGAACTGCCATAATCCAATAGCTATGTCCACACTCGTGTGTTTTTGTGTGAGCCAAGCGCATGCCTCTTCTCTTAACGCATGCCTTGACGCAGATGGACGAAAGTAACGCATGCATCGTGGCATGCTGAAAATGAGTCCGAAGGAGCTCCATTCCATAGCGCACAGCGTTGTGCAAGACAATCCACCAGCCTTGAATTTCTGTGTCTTTGAACTTGCAACTGCTTTACATGAAAATCCAACAAACGTCAGAATTCATAGATGATTATCACTTGCATTTATGTTTGTGGGACATACGGGGTAGTAAAAAAATAAAATGAACAAATATGAATTAAATTTAAAAAATAAGAAAACTACAAGCTTTATAGTACTCCTTCTTTCATATTATACAAATTGTTTTCTTACTATACCGCACCAATTCCTCCTATCAGAATAGTGTCGTCTTCATCCATTTAGGAAACGTATGTAAAACGTGAGGCATGAGTGTGGACAGCTAAAAGGCATGCCTCAAAGCACTTGCAATACCGCATTCATTGATGCATGTTGAACTGAAAGTTGTAAGGTACTTTGAAATTGGAAGCGCACGAGTGTGGACATAGCAATTAGGTTCCTAGTTCCATATGTGTCAGATTGCTGAATGGACTGTAAATATAAGGGTTTTTTCCAAGTAGTGTAGAACAATGTATTTGCACTATTTTTTTGGATACATATAAGAGGAATCGTGGTTTGTACAGAAACTGAGGAACAACGGCTCGATATTCCTCCATGTGTATTTCATCAAGCACGATGACCACTACAACATGCAGACGGAGATGCCCAGTGAGAAGTTGCTACGTAGTCAGCAAACTGTGTACTCAAGGAGACAAGTCAACAAGTTCCGTCGTCTGCGGTTCACTAAGACACAGAATCTTCTGACTGGAGAGACGGCTGCTACACCTGAAGAAGTGCTGGTATGCAATAATAATAAATGTTCTTGGTTCTAAATCTAAAAAAATATAACACAGTCAATGTAAAAAGAGGTTACAGAATGGTTTTAGGAAGGTTTAATGCTTATTTCCCCCTCTTTAAAAATCCTTCAATAGAGTAGAAAGAATGATCTAGAAGCCTAATCACCAGGTATCTTTTCAGTTTCTGTGTCCTTGGCTACAGAGTTAAACATCTTGCTTCTAGGATCATGTTTGATAGAGCTAAACAAAAACAAATAATTTGGTATACTGACGTGTTGTTATGAGCCCAATGGTTAGTAAAAAATAGCATTTAATTTAAAATTCCCATGTTATTCTTAAGGAGAATAATTAGTCAACTGTTATAGTTTGCTAGTTTATGAACATATTTTTTATCAAATTCGGAAAATTCATTTTTCTTTCATACTAAACTATTAATATTTCACTTAAAAATTACTTTATTAGCAGAAAATCTATGTACTCTTTAAACAAATGCTTTTTAAATAGGGAACTAACATGACATTTTTAAGGAGATATTTATGTAAAAATCCAATCCGGCAAATGGAATTCGCTTATTCAGCAGGTTTGCTGCTGCGTGGGTGTTATATTTTTGTGGATTATATGCCATGGATTATATTCTTACCAAATGTGTTGTGATTGCAGAAAGCTGAGACTTTAAAGACAGAAATAGTCTCTCATTGGCACCCAAATTTGACAGTGAACATCGTAGTGGACCAAACTAACTGGGTACCTGGAGGCGTCCCTCCTCCCATCAATGAGTGTAAGTTTTGACAACACAATACACTATTAAACTCAACATTTTATAGTCTATGATCAGAATTGTCTTTACACAGGTTAAGCATCACATATCTTTCTGAATTAGGCTTATCCTGTTTTGAGGTAAGCCTGATTTTCCTTTAATTATAACTCATGGCCTTGAGCCCTTTTAAAAATATGTAATGTAACAAGAAGTGTAGGTTACACAAAAAACATTAAACCAGACCTTTATTGTACCGTAATCATTTGGTGACAAAGAGTCTGTTATTGTGAGACGGAAATTAAAACCCCGTTTTGAATACTTCAAAACACTAACTTTAATTACCTGTGGTTATCAATTTTGATGAATTTATATGTTAATTTACATTTATTCAAACCAGTTCCCAAACTATTTGGTTGATCTTAAAAAACAAATAATTTAGTAGACTATACTCAAGCCTTGTACACCAAATGCTTACAGAAAAAAATCCTAAAACTGTAAATCAAAAATTTCCTTTTCATTCTTAATTCCTATGGAGAATAAGTTACTGTTGTTGTTTACTTTTTATGGATATATTTTTATCAAGTTTGGTAAATTTATTTATTTGATACTAGGCTACACTATTGACCCTTCAATAAAAAACACACTTTATTACCTTGCCTAGTGGCAGCAAGTATTTAAATCTGACATGTTTAAGAAAATATAAGTGACAATTCTTGGATATTCGCTTAGTCTGCAGGTTTGCTGTGGCTGGGGTATTTTTTAATTTACCTACAATTTTTTTTATACTGGTTTATGCTATATTTTAGAAACAGTAGTGTAAAAATTCTAATTATGTTTTTTTTTTTTTTTTGCAGTTGTTGAGTTTACCGTCACTGGAGAACACTACAAACCCATTGTATTCTTCAACGAGTTTTGGAACCTGATCAGGGATTATCATCCAATCAATGAAACTTGCAAGTAAGATTCTTAATGATTTAAGAGTCGTTTTAAAGTTAGCTTTGTAAAAATCATTGTATCCTGGACTGCAGAGCTCGCCTTAGACATGTATAAGAGGTGCAACTGCATGCAGATGGCCCTTCACCTTGGGGGGATGGAGGGCAAAACAAAAAAAGTGTAAAAAAGTTCCCAAATTTTATGTGAACTATGAATGGGACCCTAAAATTTTAGGTCCTGAATAATCGTCAATTATATCTGCCAATAATCTCAGTTACCATTTTTTTTTGTCGTTGTGATTAGTAAAGAATCCTGATCACAGAACATGAACACGATGATGTCCTATTCCCAAGAGTTGCTGTAATCGTAATAAATCGTAATGGTTGTTGCCGCTATGATGAGAGATAGTGACGAATGTTGTCACGATCATGAGGAATCATTACCGATATTGCTCCGATCATGGGAAATCATCACAAATGTTTCTGTAATTGCAAGGAAATAATTAGTGATGTATCGATACCAAGATTTATCAATTCTCAATACTGATACAGATACCTGAAAAATCAATTCTCGATAGTAATACTTTTTCAATTCGATGGGTATCAATTAGCCGGTTCATATTGCAGAGAGAAACAAAAAAGAGGTGGGGTTTGTGTATTGGTGAATAATAATTACAGTATTAAATTAAGAGCGGATCTTGGAAACTTTACGGTTGACTCTTATTTTGAGTGTTGTGGTGCTCAGATCACGCACCCTCTTGATTTAATTGTGCTTTGTGTCTACAGACCTACCGTGTATACCAAAATTGCATATGATATTTTTTTTCTAGCTTGCGTTCACTTTTACAATATTCTATTCTTAAGAATCCTAAATCCTTTTTTATACTTACAGGAGATTTTAACATTGATATTTTGAAAAATAGTTCTCAATCTGAAGAGTTTCTTTCAATATTAAATTCATTCAATCTTTTTACAACTATAAAGGTACCCACTCGGGTTTCAAATGTTTCTAGTACATGTATTGATAATATTATAACAAATTTTAAACCTAATTTATGTTTGCCTTCTGTGGTACAAAATGGTTTATCTGATCACTTAACTCAATATCTTCAAGTGAATTGTGAATATTTTACCAAGAAACATACAGAAACTGTGGTTAATAAAAAAACAATATACGTAAGACATTTTTCTAAGGTTAATATCTCCAATTTTGTCAATTCTTTAAAATCAGAGGATTGGTCTTACTTCTTTCAGAAATTAAATGTAACATCTGATGCAAATACTATTTATAAGTGTTTTTTACATATTTTTAAACTACATTTTAATGCGTCTTTTCCATTAGTTAAGGCTAAAAATAGTCTTAACCGGAATAAAGATAAAGGTTGGCTTACAAGTGGGATAAAAAGATCTAGTAAACATAAACGGGAACTTTTTGAGCTCAGCAAACGATCCACAAATCTGCATTTTAAAAACTATGTTAAAAAGTACAGCAAAGTGCTCAGTAAATGTATAAGAACTGCTAAAATATTACATAATAAAAATAAAATTAAACAGTCGTTCAACAAGACTAAAACTGCTTGGCAAATTGTAAAAACAGAAACGAATACTTCCGCCAGTAAAATAGACAAATTTCCATTTTTATCCGAATCCGTAAACATAAAAAATCAGTTAAATTATGTTAACAAATTCTTTACAGAAACTTGCAAACTTCTAAATGTTAATTCTGATCCTGAAAGCTCAATAAATTTTTTACAACAAGGGGTCCGACCTAATTCCATGTTAATATCTTTCAAAACTACAGATCCTCAAGAAATTCAGCAAATAATTAACGAATTAAAACCTTCCAAATCGTGTGGATGGGATGAAATATCACCCTTCATCATAAAACAATGTTCATCTTTTATTTCAATCCCACTTGCTCATTTAATCAACACTTCACTCTATACAGGTGTGTTTCCGGATGTATTAAAGCTCTCAAACGTGATACCAGTTATAAAAAAAGGCAATCCAAAAGAACTAACTAATTATAGGCCCATTTCATTACTGCCGACATTCTCAAAAATTTTTGAAAAGATAGTTTTTAATAGGCTGTATGATTACCTTGATAAATGTCAGTCAGGGAGTGCGGCATGGGTGCAGAGGTCGGGCTCTGCACTGCCACGGGCGACCCCCGGTACGTCAGGATTCTCGGTACTAGGCAAACGGAGACCGGGCCCCAGGGAACTGGGGTAGGGGCTACGTCCCCGAGGGTATACCCGTTCCTGGTTATTCCGGGCCGTCCCTTGCCGCACGATGCGCTGGCAAACATTTTTATGGCTTTTTCAACCCCAGGTAGCATGGAGGGCTTGCTTGGCAAGCAGTCAGAGGAGAATGCGTTTAAGAGGGGAGGGTGTGTTTCAAGGTCACCCCCTCTGACGGCAGAAAATATATCGTTGGCACCTTCGCTGGTAAAGGGAGCGACTGTCTCCCCTCCACCGGTGCCAGCTTTCAAGTCTGGTGAAGGGCTGTTGGAGGAACACCTTACAACAACGTTGCAGTCGGAGAGCTCAGGGATGGTGCTTCTGCGTCAGAAATACCTTGACGCAGAGAGTAGCATCGAAACCCGGCTTCGAGACATGGAGGAGACCATTAAAGCTATGCTGGACACCTTTCGGACCCAGAAAGCTGTTAACCAAGTGGTCAAAAATGGCATGGCCAAGCTAGAAGATGACCTTGGATTCGTTTTTGCCTGCCGGTTGGTAAGCAAGGCGGCCATGGAGAAGATTGCGGAGAAGGTAGTGTCTATGCCCGACGACAGGGCGCTGCCTTCCAAGAAACGCAGAAGGCCATCCACTACGGAAAGCCCTCCAAAAAAGGAAGAGGCTGTTCAGACCACAAGGGCTAAGGTTAAGGCTAAGGCGACCCAGACAGACCTTTTGTCTGCCGGGCCCAGGTCTTCCCCAGATGTAGCTGCTTTCCCAACAAAGCGTCTACAACCTCAGCAACCCGTGACCCCTCTTAGGGGAAGCTCCCGTAAGGGATCAGTTGTTGAGACACCATCTGGGGCTGCATGGGAAAAGCGTCTTACCCGAAAGGAGAAGAGGCAGCAGAGGCGGGCGGAGGTCACTTCCAAGAAAAATGTGGCGGTAAAGGCACAAACGACAAACGTTGCCCAAATTGGGCCCGGTTTGGCCCCCGCTCTTAAAAGGTCGCGGCCAAAAAAGCCCAGGACGGAGGCAATCTTGGTTAAGCCCTCAGGGGGGAGATCATTCGCTGAAGTCTTGGGTATAATAAAGGCTAAGCCGGAGCAGACCGATACGGTTGTGCGGTCGATTAGGCAAACCCGGGGCGGGGACGTCCTCCTTGAACTGGGTAAGTCAAAGGACAAATCCGCTTTTGCTGCTGAACTGAAGGCAGCCGTGGAAGGCCAGGGCACCGTCCGTGCACTCGAGCCTAAAACGTCAGTTGAGGTTCGGGACATAGATGGTGTGTCGACAGAGAGTGAGGTGGTTGAGGCCCTAAAGGAAGCAGTCCCCGAGCTTGCCGGAACATCGGCTGTTCTTAGGGTGTGGCTCACAAAACCAAATAGAAACCAGCAGCGGATGGCGGTCGCCGAAATGGCAGACGCACACGCTAGTAAGGTGTTGGCACTCCAGCATTTGAGGGTCGGTTGGGTCAACTGCAGGCTCAGACGGAGGGTGGAAGTAACCAGGTGTTTTAGGTGCCTCGGTTTCGGTCATTCCTCCCGAAATTGCAAGGGGCCCGACCGAGGCAAGCACTGCCTCCGGTGCGGAGGGGTGGGTCACGCTCGTAGGGACTGCCAAGTCGAATCTTGCTTTCTTTGTAAGGAAAATGGGCTCGCGGACAAAAACACCAAACATATAGCTGGGTCTGGGCAGTGCAGCGCTTTTAAAACTGCGCTTCAGCAAGCAAAAGCCCACCCACGAAAATAAGAATACTCCAATGTAATCTTGGGCGATCCAGGACAGCTGACGCGCTTCTCAGTCAGCTTGCCCTCGAACACGGTGTCGACGCGCTCTTGGTCAGCGAGCAGTACCAGTACCGGAATAGGGTCCCACCCTTTTGGTTCCCCGATAGTCTTGGTACTGCTGCTTTCTGGGTGCGTAATACAGCTCAAGTGCAAGTGCGGGGTCATGGAAAGGGCCGTGGATTGGTTTGGGTTCGGTGCAAGGACGTCACCTATTACAGTGTCTACCTCACCCCTAACGAGGCTATCCATGACTTCCGCGAGAAGATAGACCGCTTGGAAGAGAGCGTGCAGGACACCACAGGGCATGTGGTCGTGGCTGGTGATTTCAATGCTAGGGCCGTCGAGTGGGGACTGACCCTCACTAATTCCCGGGGGAAGTACATCCTGGACTTTGCTGCCAGGGCCGGACTCGTTGTAATCAACGAGGGCAACACGCCAACGTTCCGGCGACCCGGGATGAGGGGAACGATCCCAGACATAACCCTCGCATCTGAGTCTCTTCTGCCAAGGATCACAGCCTGGAGAGTCTTGGAGGATTATACGGCCAGCGACCATCAATACATTATTTTCAATGTCTTAGATCGCATCCCGAGACAAGTTGCTGCATCTCGGGAAGTGCCCGTTCGGTGGAACACCAAAAAACTGGACGTGGCTAAATTCACCGAGGCCATCCTGCGGGGAGTGCCAGCGGTGCCTGCCGCACCTGGCATGGCTCATGCAGAGGCTATAGTTACATCGATGATGGGGCTGATTGCCTCGGCTTGTGATGAGTCAATGCCCCGCAAGAGACTCCGTTGCGATAGGAGACCCGTATACTGGTGGACTGCAGAGATCGCAGATTTGCGCCGAGCTGCTTTGAGAGCTAGACGACTCGCTACCAGGGCCAGGGCACCCTTGGATAGACGCCGTAAGCTGGAGAGCTACAAGGTGGCGAGGAAGTCTCTCCGCCGGGCCATCAACCGGAGCAAACACAATTGCTGGAAAACACTAAGGGATGATGTCGATTCCGACCCGTGGGGCCTGGGTTACAAACTAGTAACCCAAAAACTCACCACTCGCTCTCCACCTTCCGTCATGGAGGGGGCCGCTATGGAGAGGGTCGTCAAATCCCTTTTTCCGGATCATATTCTGCGCCCACTGCGTGAGTTTGAGATTATGGACGATGTCCCACTCTTCACTCATGAGGAGCTGGAGACTGCCGTTTTATCCCTGAAAAACAACAAGGCTCCTGGACCTGATGGGGTACCTGGCGAGGCTCTTAAGAAGGTTTTTTCAATCAATCCCCTGATTCTTCTGAGCATGTACAACGCCTGCCTAGCAGAGGGGGTATTTCCGTTGTGCTGGAAAAAAGCTAGGCTCGTGCTCGTAGGGAAGGGGAAAGGAGACCCAGAATTGCCGTCCTCTTACAGACCCCTTTGCATGTTGGATACGGCTGGGAAAGTCCTAGAGAAGTTGATCCGTTCCCGACTGAATTCAGCCGTGGTTGCTGCGGGGGACCTGAGCCCTCGCCAATACGGCTTCAGGAAGGGGCGATCAACGGTCGACGCTATTGAGGAGGTGAAGCAAGCCGTGATGAGAGCTGAGGATTTTAATCACTACTCTCGTAGGGTTGTGCTGCTCGTTACACTCGATGTGCGAAACGCATTTAATTCTGCAAGATGGTGCGATATGCTGGACGCTCTGGAGAACAACTTCCACGTCCCGGCATACCTCATGCGCATTATAGAGGATTACCTCCGGTTCCGCCTCCTCATGTATGATACTACAGAAGGCCCGCGGACGATGAGTGTCACTTCTGGTGCTGCCCAAGGTTCCATACTCGGCCCGGACCTCTGGAACGTTGCCTACGACAGCCTCCTTAGGTCTGAAATGCCTGAAGAAACCGTTTTAGTTGGGTACGCAGATGACATTGCAGCTTTAATAGCTGCTCGTAGTGTTGAGCTGGCCCAGTTAAATTAAACCGAGTCATGCGAACCATAAACGCATGGATGGCAGATCACGGTCTCTCACTCGCGCTGAACAAAACTGAGATCGTGATTCTGACCAAAAAGCGGATTGACACCATTGTGCCGTTGAGGGTGGGGGACGTCGAAGTCCAGTCCGTTCGTGCCGCCAAGTATCTTGGTGTCATGGTGGACTCTAAGCTTAGCTGGCGGGACCAGATATTCCGAACAGCGGACAAGGCCGCTAAGGTTATCTCTTCTCTTAGCCGGTTAATGGCCAATGTCGGAGGTCCTCGTTCCAGTCGCAGAAGGCTGTTGATGTCTACAGTTCAGTCTGTGCTCCTGTATGGTGCGGAGGTGTGGGCAGACGCGCTCAATAAGGAGGTGTATAGGATGCGGCTTGCCAGAGTGCAGCGTCAGGCAGCACTCAGGGTAGCATCCGCCTACCGAACAGTGTCTGAACCTGCCATCTTGGTGGTTGCTGGAGTAATCCCCGTCAAACTTTTGGCGGCGGAGAGGAAAGCGATTTATCAGCGGCGTGGAGAGGACCATGCAAAAATGGAGGAGCGCAACCGCACCTACCAGCTCTGGCAGGAGAGCTGGGAACAGGAGTCGCGGGGACGCTGGACCAGGAGACTGATTCAGCAAGTCCAACCATGGGTTGACCGACGGTATGGTGAGGTGGACTATTACCTTACCCAGTTTCTGACAGGTCACGGGTTTTTTCGGTCGTACCTGTTCAGGATGGGCAAAGCCGTGTCACCCGATTGCATCTACTGCCCAGGCACTCCCGACGACGCGGAGCACACCTTCTTCCGCTGCCAGCGTTGGGAAGGTTCCCGCCTGGAGGCTGAACAACATGTAGGGCAGTTGTTGGTGGACACGGTCATTCCGATGATGACGGAGGGTGAGGACAATTGGACCTGTATGTCACATTTCGTCCAGGATATTCTCCGCACAAAGAAGCTAGAGCTTGACCGAGATGCAGTCTAGGTCATAAAGAAATTGAATGCCAGAAACGGCGCGAGCCCTGAGGGCTTAGGTCACACGTTGACCTGACCTGAAGTAATGTGACAAACAATCCCAGGTCTGTGTCCAACAGAGTAGAGGGGGTTTTTTTAGTGAGTAGTCTGACAAGCTCAGGAGTCTCACACTACAGGCTGGCTACCTGTGTGCGTAAAAGCATTTTTACCTCCTCTCCCTTATAAAAAAAAAAAAAAAAAAAAAACCTTGATAAATGTCAACTCTTCAACATGAATCAGTATGGGTTTAGAAGGGGTAAAAGCACTGTAGATGCCATATTTAGTTTTGTATCTGAGGTTGCGGATGCTCTTGACAGGTCGCAGAATGTATCTGGTCTCTTCTGTGACCTGTCAAGGGCGTTCGACTGTGTAAACCATAATATACTGATTCGGAAGTTGCAGTTTTATGGTATATCGGGCAGGACCAGTAAATGGTTGGTTTCATTTCTATCCAACAGAAAACAGTGTATAAATTTGCAGTCACTGGGAATTAAATCTGATTATAGACTAATCACAGATGGTGTACCTCAAGGGTCCATTCTTGGACCCTTACTCTTCCTGGTTTATGTCAATGACTTGCCCATGACCTTAAATTCTAAATTGGTTATGTTTGCTGACGATACTTCTGCTATCTTCACCCATCCAGATAAATCAATGTTTCCACAGCTTATCAAACAAGAATTCCAAAAGCTGGAAAGTTGGTTTCAAGCTAATGGACTTTTACTAAATCAATCCAAGTCTCTTTTAATGAACTTTAAAAAAAAATATTTTAATAACAATTTTTCTCACGAAAACACCACTCTATCTTGCAACCTTGCCAACTCCACCAAATTTTTAGGAATAACAGTAGATCATAAATTAACCTGGAAAACTCACATAACAGACGTCATCAAAAAGTTAAATAAAGCATATTTTGTAACTCTCATTCTTTCTAGATCAGTTGATATTTCTACTCTTATGATGGTATACTATGGCTATGTTTATCCTATTCTCAATTACGGAATTATTTTTTGGGGAAATTCCGACAAAAATAAAAAAGTTTTTAAATTGCAAAAAAGAATAATTAGAACAATTTATTCTATCAAAGCTAGGGGTTCTTGTAAAAATACATTTAAAAACAATAATATCCTTACTTTTCCCAGTCTGTATATCTACAATTTATTAATTTTTATGAAACAAAATATTTCTAAATTTTCTGTTAATTCGGACAATCATAATTATAATACCCGACACAAAAGCTGCCTTTTATACCCTAAACATAAATCCTCAACTTTAGAATCTTCTCCCCACTACTCTGGTGTTAAGTTTTACAATAACCTGCCTGATTCGATTAAATCTGTAGCTTCCCTTAAGTCGTTTAAGAAACAGTTATTTAAGTTTTTATGTAGTAAATGCTGTTATAAGGTAAAAGATTTTTTCCACTGACTCTTGTACATTAGTTTTAAGATATTTGTTTTATCACGATTATTGTATTGACGCTATTTATGTATATTGTATACTAAATGAATAAAGGATAATTTGATTTGATTTGATTTGATTAATACCTGAAAAATTGATTCTCAATACTGATATAATTTTTTTTATAGTTTTACCAAGTTTTCTAAATGATTTGGTTGGACTACAACAACCCCTGTCTTTAAATCCTTCTACAAAGTATTTTGAGGTAATAGGGTATTTTTAAAGTAAAGAAAAAATATATTCAGCAATGAAAAATTTCAAGTATCTAACTTAAGTTTAAACACTTCTAAACACATTAAATAACTACTAACTACCATATAAAAGTTAAATGAAGATTTAACAACTCAAATCAAAAAGAAAATGTAATTATAACTAGAGATAGGCCAGCCTAATATTTACAGTCAAGTCAAACTCAAGGTAATATTGTGATCATCTCCTGCAGTTGTAAGTCCTTTGCAAAATCCTGAATATCTTTCTCAGTCACGTAAATACCTCACGGTCGTGGAAAACCCCCGAATATCGCTCATGGGTAACAGAAACACAATCAAAGCCTCTAGCGGTGGCGTGGACATCATCGTCTTCTTCCGCTATCATGGCAAAATTCTGATCTCCCGCGGCTGTGTGGAAATCCTTATTGAATCCTGTGGTCGTGGAAAAGTCATTGTCGTCTTGCGCGATCGTGGCAAAACCTTGAACATCTTCTGTGGCCGTATGGACATCATCGTCTCACTCGGTCGTCTTCGTCTTCCGTGGTCACAGAAACGTCATCGTCGTCTTCCGCAATTGTGGCAAAATTCTCAACTCTCGCAGTCTCATAAATATCATCGTTGTCTTGCGTGATCGTGGCAAAACCACGAACATCTCCAATGGCCGTAGAGACATAATCATCGTTTGGTTCTCTTGGTCACAGAAACTTCATTAATGTCTTCCGAGGTCAGCGAATATCCATCGTCGTCTTCTAGGGTCATGGAAACTTCATTGTCGTGGTGCGTGATCAATGGCAAAAGTGGTAACTTTCCGATCTCGCAGACGTGACAGGTATCAGTATCGGAATCGACTTTTGACGATCGATTCTTAATACCGATACCAACTTCCAAGTATCGGTGGTTTTGTGAATGGACACATCCCTAGATATAATCATGAGTTTTAGTATGATCCTAGTTCAACCCGTAGTCAGAGACTTAAGACTGACGGGGTTTTCACAGTTTTCCAACATTCATTGTCTGTTTGTCAGGACTCTGGAGCTTCACCTGACATTCCAGCCATTGTCGTTGTTCCGATGGCAGATCTACGCCACACAGACCATGAAACACAAGTGGTCTGTCAACCTTTTCCAGGAGGAACATCAAGATGATGAGGACCAAGACTCTCTCAAGGAGGTGAGACATGATATATGCGACTAAATATGAGAATAATCTTTTACTAGTGTACATGTTGCTCGAATTCGAGCAATTGCAAATATTACAGAAGATATTTCAAAACGAATAACAGTCATATTTACAACGAATTTAAAAGAATCAACTCAAAGATTACCGGTGTGTAACTCAGACTATGTTTATCTTCGTTATTGATAAACCTAAAGCATTCGGGCCGGTTTTCTCCTTCTCAAAATGCCTCGCTGTACAGGCAACACAGGTCATTTATAGAGGGCTAATTGAGAACGAAAAGTCGTTTTGGGGTAGTGTTAGGGGGCATTTGTAACCTAATAGTTGAGATTGTCCAGGGTCAGGTGCTGACTGTGATGAGTTAAGCCTAATACTCGCCACTGTTCTGTGAGCTGCGGTCGTTATCACGATTACGCCTCCTGTCTATGTGTGTTGTAGTCGTCACGTCGGAGGCATATAAAAGAAAAAAAAACAACAAATAAACAAATGATAGCTACACAAAACAACGATAAATGTTACAATCGTGCTAACACGATCCGTCATAGCTACACAAAACAACGATAAATAAATACACAAATTTAAGATACTGTACAACCATACTAACAAAATCCGTCTTGGAGGTTATGTTTACACAAACTCAAATAGTAAATAAATGTACTCGATGGGTTTCATTGAATTGAAAAATAAATAACAGCAGTTAAATTAAACAGCTGACCAAAATGTAAACAATTATGTTCTTCATAAGGATAACATGGGAACTTTCAAAGCCACTGGGGCAGAGCCCAAGGGACTTTTTCAAAAATGTAAGGCCAGTTTGCAAATCTACGCGACACGCTCTTTCCAATGAGATCTCAATGGATAAAATCGGTTAAGAAATGGCGGAGGAGTTCAACCGACAAAGTTTCATGTAGCGTATTAATTATATAGATGTACAAAAACAGTTAGCTGAATGAATACGTTAATTAAGGAATGGTGTTGTCTCTGTTGTTACTATTTTTTCAGTAAATCAGTTGTGCCTTATTCTTTGTTGTTGTGTGGAATTCCTTCTCCCTTATTGTAAATATGAGACTTGGGATTTAATACAAGAATCTAGCCAATCTAATTCTTAATCCGAATAATTTGGAGAGGTTCGGTGGATGTAAGATCCTACTTAAAATTTAAGACCTGGTAGGGATGGGTTGTTGTGTTCTTTATTTTAATGAACAGCCTAGTGGCTGATGAAGGGGTGTTTTTTAAGGGATAGAACACTAAGCGATGAAAATAATTGAGTCCAGGGGCTAAGAGTGACAATTAATCTCTCTGATGTTATTTTAGTCCTACTACAGGACTTTTCTTGAGATAGTAGGTTGAAGATAAATAACTAAATTTCCTCTAGAAATTTTGCAATATTACATTTAAACACATTTTAAATCAGATTTTTTCTTCAATATGATGCAGTGTTCATAGTGAATCCTTTTTTTATAATATTATATTTGTACCTGTGTATTACGTTTGTAATCCAAATCTCTTTTTGTTCTTAGGCATTGCTGGAAACATCTCCATATCTCCTGGCAGCAACAGTAGTAGTCTCCATATTGCACAGTGTCTTTGAACTGCTGGCTTTCAAGAATGGTAAAAACATACGTTAGAATAATCAAAATAAGTTTTAGTTAAGGCATTATACCTGTACTCGCTACCATCTATTAATTTTTCATAACAGTTTTCAACCAAGGATGGCATTTTGATTCTCAAAGTCTCTGATTGGTCTACATAACCTGTATAACTGTTTGAAATTTAAAGGTAACATTTTTTATAAATATTCGCCATCTTGTAAATGTATACAGTATAAGTAAGTGTACATATATATATGTTGAAAAGTGTTGGAATCTGTATTTTTTTTTATTTGAATGACAGCGCCTACACGCAAGATGCCAATCGAGATGTTGTTTACTTGTTTCAGATATTCAGTTTTGGAACAATCGCAAGTCACTGGAAGGCCTCTCTGTTAGATCAGTTTTCTTCAACGTCTTCCAGTCTTTGATCGTTTTCTTGTATGTGTTTGACAACGATGCCAACACCTTGATTAGAATAAGCTGTTTTGTTGGACTTTGCATCGAACTTTGGAAAATAAACAAGGTTTGTTAGCTTCAACCAATAGAATTGTAAGATAAATGTTAGGTATTAAAAAAATCCTGACTTTAAATATTGTTCATATTGTTTTATTGTCCATTTATTAATAATTTTGCTGAAAAAAGTTTATTATTCGTTACTGACCATGAAAATCGTATAGGTAGTTTAAAAGAATTACTTTATTTTTATCTGTTAATGGTTTAACATGGAAGTCTACTTAATTGTTAGGATTTCTGTTAATATCATTTCATTTAAATTTAATTGTTGAAATCTGCCTATTATAATTTGTGTTAAAAAATGCAATTGTATGTCCTATACATTACTGTATTGAAAAAAAATTCCTGAATAGAACTAGCCCGGTTAAGACTCAAGATGGTAATTTTTGATATTTTGTAAAAGGACTCTTTGATTTTTAGGTGGTGAACATAACTTTAGACCGAGAAAACAGAATATTTGGTTTTCCAAGACTAAGGTAAGAATTCTGAATATGATAGGATAAGATTAAACTTTAAAATTAGTTTTTAAAGAGCAACATTAATGTTGAAGTTTTCTTCAATTAAACCTAAAATAAGCTCCCAATATTTTTTTATCATTTAAATTTCTTGAATTGTAACAGCTCTAAATGAATCATCCATTCACTTCTTAGATTTATCGCCTAGTAATGCATAGTTTCAATCATTTTAACAAATGATAAGAGTGTTTAATATTTGACTGGTAACATTAATTTCATCATCATTTATAAAATTGTATGTTTTTTCACTGCACTTCTTACGGATGCGTTAACACCTGTTTATGATTAATGTCTACAAAAACTACCATGTAGACTAACTTAATAGTTTTTTTTTTTTTTTTTTTTTTTTGCCTTACTACTCTGTTTAATGGACTTTACACGCAATTATTTAGTCCGGAAAACAGATGTTTGACGTAGGCCTATGCTTAATCAAATGAGATTTCATTACGTTAGACAATGAGATCTTATAAACAAAAACATAACCTCTCTTAGAAGATATAAGTAGTGATTGACTAAGTCCTTTAGTCGGTGGGCATATCAAATTTGTACAGTTTTTTTAATTGTTAGGTTGGTTTAGAGTAGTATGATGAAAAATATCGTTTGTCACTTTCCAAAATGTGTTTATCGTACTCATATGGTAATCGGCAACAACAATACTTGTCCAGTAAGCACCTATTTTCCGGACTAGTAACGTAATATACCATAATAAAAACCTCAAATGAATAAATATTTTCATTGATTCAGGTTTGAAGACAAAGGCTCGTACGTGGAGAGCAGCACCAGGGAGTACGACCAGTTAGCGTTCAAATATCTGTCCTGGGTCTGCTACCCTCTACTGGTCGGCTACGCTGTCTACTCCCTACTGTACCTGGAGCACAAGGGATGGTACTCCTGGCTGCTTAACATGATCTACGGGTTCCTCCTCACCTTCGGTAATCACTCACCCACTACATTCTGGATAAATCCCTAGGCTATAGTCGGTTTTTGGAGGAAAGAGAACTAGTGATGTGTCGAAACCAAATCTCAAATCTCTAAATCGAAATTTAAAAAAAAATTGAATCTCCACCCTTAAAAATCTCAAAACCTAAATCCTAAATGTGATACTTTTTTACTTGCCTGGTCAAGTTTACACACAAATTCACTAAATTCAGCCAATAAAATGAATAATGTTTATAATGCAATTAAACTGAAAGAAATATAACTTCTGACCCTGATATAATAAACAAACATGAATATGTGAGTTTATAAATTAAGTGAATATTTAAGTACACTTAAAACCTAAATAAACAGAACTTTTTATGAAAATTAAAAAACAATAAAATAATTTTTTCACCTGAAACTTGGCATAATAAACATAAATGAGATTAATACTTACTTACTTTATACCTATAATAGCATCATTTTTGTGGTTCATTCATTTTGAAGTTTTGAATCTCTAAACTCGCCGATAAAATCTCGAACTGTAACTTTTCCAAAGTTTGGTGGTGCTAGTGGATTAGCATACTGTAAGTATACATCTATGAAACAGTAAATTTTGTTCATTTAAATAATACACTTTTTGATGAATTTAGACCCACTCATAGTTATAATACCCGAAACCCAAATCTGCTAAATTATCCAATTCATAAACACTCTCATTTTGAAAAAAACCCCATCTATATGGGGATTTGTTTATATAATAAGATCCCCTCAAAAATAAAATCCTATACACCACAAAAATTTAAAATTTGGACTAAATCATTATTGGTGGAGAAATCATATTACTTCCTGGCAGATTTCCTAAATGACCGTGACATTAATTGACCATTAGTTTATGTAAAATATGACACAGAATGTTTTTAATTGTTTTTTTCTCTGATATTGCTTCAAGATCTTCATTTGAATTTGTCTTTTTTCTAACTTGTTTGAATTGGTAACTTTCTCTCAATTGTGCTGTTCTTGTTGTATTTTGTTGTAACTTATTACTTTTAGTTTTTATAACTTATTGATTGACCATGCATCTGTTTACCATTGCCTTTGTAATGAAGAATGTTTTATGCAATAAAATACTTATGACTTATGACTTAAGATGCTGTGATGCTAGGTATGAGAAACATGGCTGAAGGTTTAAAATATATTGTTATTGTTTATTAATTATTAGTTAGGTTAAGATGTACTCAAAACAAAACACTATACTAATAATTGAATACAGAAAAACCAATACCAATGTAAACCTCAAAATGTATATTTTTGTTATAGGTTTCCCTCTAAATATTACATTTGTAAACCCATTATATGTACCACTTGTTGATTGGTTCTGATTAGTTCTGTGATTATTAGACGGATACAATACAATTGCTTGTATGTTTTCTAGGCTTCATAATGATGACGCCGCAGCTATTCATCAACTACAAACTCAAGTCTGTCGCACACCTGCCTTGGCGAATGATGTCCTACAAGTGTCTCAACACTTTCATCGATGACATCTTTGCTTTTGTCATCAAGATGCCCACCATGTACCGTCTGGGATGTTTCAGGGATGGTATGTCGGAGTTCAGCCTGTTTTGCAATATTTTAACTTAGTATTGTGGATTTTTCAAACACATTCCCGAAATATAGGTTAATAAAGGAGAAATTAAGGCTAAAAAGATTAATAGACATTTTAACTAATACAATAGAAGTAGGGACTTTTATAAAATGATAGCTTGATAAGAATAAGAAACAATAGGAGTTTTTTGTATCAACCGTATTGTTAGCTACATTGGCCAGACTGAGACAGCACTCTTCAAAGTATGAAAAAAAATTCTGATTGCAAGTCCCAACTGAATATACGGGAATGCTGAAAAGTGAAAACCACTGTGGTTTATTATGACACATGCCTAAATGATATTTAACAATTTAATTGATTGAGAAAATATGTTATTTCTGTATTTGTTGCCCAAATCTGTAACTAAAATTTACTATCTTGTAAAGATGGACTTTACAAATGATTATTACCATGTAAATAACAACAAAACATTGAATTCCTCAGGTCCCCTACATACCCTACACCACGAGTCGTAGCGTTAACTATCCCATGGAGTTAGAGTAATCAGTTTACATGATAGGAAGTTTCTATAATGGTTGGTAACCTCCCGGCTAACTGGAGGTCTACACACAGTTACTTTGGGTGACGTAACTCAGTAAGTAAACTCAACACTCACTTACAAAACCCAAATTTATTATTAGTTCACAAAACATATAAAGAAAACGAAAACTAGCAACAAACAAAAAGGTAGAGTAGACTGGAACAGTGTTAATAATTTAAATATTAAAAAGAAACCCCAATTTGGAAAAAAAGATTCTAAACCCCAATTTTGAAATCCCTTAAAATTGTCATTAAAATTTGTTTTACTGTATAGGATAATTTACAGGAGTTAGTCATACAGCATCTTTGTATTATTTATTCTTTGTAAGGCCTTCTCCAGTACACCACACTCACCACTACACACAAAACTGGCCCTCTGATCAAGTGCAATGGCCTTCTGTAGGTCAGTGCAAAAAGTTTTTGTTTAACAACACTTCCAACCTTCTCACACAACATTACCAAAACACTCTCTCTTCACATTATTTGACCTTCCTATTACACTTCTTGATCAACTTGGCTGTGTAGCAGAGTCCTGTAGTCAATGGCTTAATATGCTTTTAACGTATTAAAAGTTGTCAGTTAACCTTGATTGTGATTGTTGCAGACATAGTATTTTTCATCTTTCTCTACCAAAGATGGATATACAAAACCGATCCAAAGAGGATCAATGAGTTTGGTTACTCTGGTGAGATGGAGACTAACGGAACGGCCGCTGTGGAGGGTCAAGCGGCCATCGAAGATACGCAGAAGAGCTCCGATGACAAGAAGAAAGATTAACGCATCTGGAAAAGCTAGTTGTTAATCTCTGAATGTTGTTTAGCGATAAAACGTAATATTTATAATTTGTTATAAGCTTTTACAATGGTTTTCAAATGAAATTTGAAGTCGTTGGCTTTAAAATTAATCACCTAGATAAGAAAATCAATATTTATATATTACACCCGTTCTGTTTTCAGTGCACTCATTTGCTGTTTTTATAAATTATCAGGTATACTTTTTTACCAAGTTCTATGTGATTTTATTTTCACTCGAGTAGACTTTATTGAAAGTATTTTTAAAGAAATGCAATTTAGAAGTACAAAGTATTTTGTACTAGTGATATTTCTTTAGGTGTCGTTTGAGTTAGTTATGTGACCTTAAATGAAATTTATATTGATGTATGTATGTTTATACTTTCCTGCCGCTGTTTCAAGTTTTTATAGTATTGAAAATAAAAGTTATCAGTTGAAAACAGTAGTTCAGTATTGCTATTATTTTAGGTCCTATTGGTCATTATTATCATCATCTCCTTCTATCATCTGTTATCTTCTTAGCCAGTAATAAAGGAATAACAGCTAGCTTACCATAGAAAGAATCCCATAGAAGCTTACCAGAAGAAGGTACACACAATATTTTGAACCCTGGGGGACTTTGTCAAGCGTAGACACAGAGAAGACAGTAGTACAGAGAAAACACACTTATGAGACAACCGTGCACTTTCAGCTCTGGTATGTTGGGGCCGAAGTATACTTGTGACAAGCAAGGATGAGCCTGAACGGCAAGCGTTGTGCAGAAGTTTCTATAGCACAGGGTCTGCCTCAAGCGTTGCAGTTGATGATGGAAAGGGGAGCAGTGCGGGACTTTGCCCTAGACACCAGCACTAGTTCCAAACACCACTAAAGTTTATGTAGAATGTTTCGTCTGTACCTCACTTCTCTGTGGCATAGACCAAAAAGATCAAAGGTAAGTTGTGGAGTCAATCTCCATAGCACAGCAACTATTTAAATGTCCCGCCTAGTCTCAACCCCAGAGCTGCTCGCGCATGCGCAGGGAGCAGGCGGGTAAAAGCAGTGAACCAACTCTGTCGTGTGTCTGCTGTCGCCAAGAATGCAAGGGTAAATTCGTTGGGATACGGGGGGACGCCCCCTTGAGGTATTGTGTCGTAGTTTTAGTATTTAATAATTTCAGATCATCGTATCAATTTTACTATTTCATTCATTCCGTCATTTATTGTTAATTATTAATTCAAATGTCAGTTCACGTTGCGTCCAGTTGTGTTATATATTAAATATTCAATATGTTGAACAATCCACGTATTTCAGTGTTATAATGCTTTAATTAATCAATCTTTCATCAAAGCTGGCTCTTGGGGCCTATGAATTACCGGTAAATTACCGGGAATTGCGGTAAATTGTCTCCTCTGTATTAAATAATGTGTTCAGTTAACGTTTCCAACATGAACGATTTGGTCAGGAACTTGAATCGCATGATCAGATCACCAAAATGTGGCACAAAGTATGCCACAAAGTTAGCTGCTTCTCATAATTCTAAAAATCCCAATCCTGGTCTAGATATTTCCTTTAACAAAATTGGTCATTAATAAGGCTGTCAAGTCAACCATTTAACACTTATCCTCTCATTTTCACCTTAGAACACTCACTCTCTTTGTAGGTGTCATATAAATCAAATCTAGTTTTAAAATTTTCAACTAACTTAGTGATGTGTCAAAATCGAATCTCAGATTGGATCACCGAGTTTCAAGATTCAAAAGTTTCGAAATTGAAGATTTTGACAGTTTTATTCTTGAATCTACAATCATTCTTTGCATCATTATTATAATAAATTTAAAATGTTTCCACACTATCCGGTAGGTAGCAACAAAGCAAACACAGTAAATTGTATTCTGAACTTAGAAAGGCATGGCATCTTAAATAGGTACTATAACTAACTGGAACAACTCAGTTTCATAACAATATATTAGCCACTATGTTCTAATTAGTCTGATATTCATGTTTATGTTGTTGTCAGGAGTTTAATTTATATTAATTTCATAAAACATGTTGGTATGGGATGGGTTTATCAGTCAAATTTATATTTTGTCAGTGTCAGGAGTTAACCTCAGTTTTGATTTCATACTTAACATTTTATTATTGCCTGTATACTTTTCAGTCACCTTGTATTTTAATACAATTTGGCAATCTATATATTAATTTGAAACTGTTTTTCTTTGTCACAGCTATTTTGAGAGAACGGCTGGGCGTAGAAACTCGGTAGAGGTGTCTAAAGAAAGGTCTTGGTCTGTAGATGAGCCATCAAAAGAGAAACATGGTGAATTCCCTTGGGGCTCTGCCCCCGTGGCCTTTAAATTCCCATCCCATGTTATTCTTATGGAGGAAAACGGGGTTTTTGTCACAGCTAATTTGAGAGAACGGCTGGGCGTATAAACTTGGTAGGGGTCTCTAAAGAAAGGTCTTGGTCTGTAGATGAGCCATCAAAAGAGGAAAGAGGTAAATTCCCTTGGGGCTCTGTCCCAGAATCCTTTAAATTTGTCTCTTCAGATTTGTTTACATTACGACCATATGCATAATTCTACAATACCTTTTAATGCAACAGCTGTTAATATTTAAATTGTGATTTATTGCATTTTTCAAAATACAGTATTTGCAATGGATTTTTCTGATTTTAAAATTGATTTTCTTCTGCATCGTGTCATGTTTTGCAATATAATGTTCTATTACCAAATCAGTGGAAAATCCTGATATCACAGTAACTTTTAAAATTATTTCTTATGGAGTTAACTTATATCTATTGTATGGCTTGGTTTCTGCCTTTTTTACCACTTCTTGGAGATTTTACGTAGGTGATATTCTTTGGCGTATTGCATCTGTAGACGAAACTTGGGTTGGTTAAATTATTACAATGGAAAAAAGCGAGAAATCCTGGACAATTTGATATAGGCTAAAAATACAACTGAATTAACAATATATGCTACATTTCTTGAGCAATCATTGAAATAACCGATTTGCAAACAATGGAAACATCGAAAAAGTCATAGAACACAACCAAGTAAAAGAAATAGAAATAATGTTTTTTTACACTAAAAACAAGATCAACTTTTTGAAAAAAGATAAGATATTTACAAAAGATTTGGATTATATCTAACTGTTGTGTAGATCGTGAGTATTTCCATAATCTTTGAGTCGCCTGTAAATGCTTCGCAATTGCTCGAATTCGAGCAACAGGTACACTAGTATTGTTAATTTCATACCAAGCTATCAAAATTTAAATTAACAAGTACGCCTCATTAGGTTACCTTATCTGTACCAGCAAAACCTAAGCATTAATTTAAATCCATCTTATTTAAATTGGAACTAACTAAATCCGACAAGTTTAAGTGAATATTTAGTGGAAATCTAGCCAAACTAATGTAAATTCACATTAATTTAGTGCAGTTACGTTGATGGCCTTAAGTGCGCTTACTACGTGCGCTTGTACGTCGGACTCAGACAAAGAAGACGTTATTAGCTATTATATCAATACCGAAGACAGCGAAGGGTACTAGAGAGCATTGGGTTCACCCTTAGTTGAGCAAGAATGTTAGTACTAGACTGTTTGTAGCAGCTAGAGCTATTCTGATAGTAAATTATAAACACTATACGGCCGTCAAAATTCCACCAAAATACCACCAAACACCACAAAAACACCCCGTGGTCTCGTGCAACTGAAGTCTGCAACGTCGGGCCCACGGTTGCATGTGACTGGTTTCAAACATTTTTGGAAATCGCAAACAACCAGTTGCGTCGTGTGCGCCTCCCCACTGCAATACATTGCCGATGTCACAAAACAGTTGCACGCGCAATTGGTTTGCAACGACAGTTGTGAAACAGTCACACTGTGTGCGCTGGGCCGTATGGTAAAAAAGTAAACTGAAAGGTTGAAATTGTCGCCTATTGTGGCCACCTCACCCCCAGCGACTTAAACGTCGCGACAAAGTCGCCAAGTGTGGCCCTAGCGTAAGGGTGGGGTGTGAATCCCAAAACCCCTCCTTTTGATTTTGGCTTAAAGTAAGCCTAATCTTCCTTTGATTTTGCTTTTGTCCAAGATTGCTTCTACTGGATTAGGATTGGATAGAATAGAAAAAAAAGAAAGAATAGGAAATAACGGAACCACTTTTGATGGTGATGTTGGAAGAACTGTCGAAAAAACATCTGCGTGGAGCAAGAGCAAGTAAAACAGCAAGCCAGCCAATCACGACCGACCAGACGTTTGGACCTGACGAGACAACGAGAAACGGAACGGAGAAAGACGAGAGAGAACGCAAAACGCAAAGCGAGAGCTTAGCTGTTTACGTTACTAGTATCGCTAATGTTGAGAGTTGTGAAGTGATAAATTCCAAGTTTTAAAACTGCTTTGTATGTCTACACATTTGGAAGACTTTAATCACAGATTCAAGGTATTCTTAAGTACTGTTTTGTTGAAGATTGTAGTTAAACTCCGCATAACTTCATAAACGCGGTATGGAATTGAGAGCAGGGTTTTGAAACGGTAGTTTAAGCCAATTCCGCCATTTTCGTAAGGATTTATGTTACTTTTTATAAAGGTTCACAAAGTAGTTACAAAGGTTCTAACTTCTAGACATTCATGTTTTCTTATAACGTCTGTTTTTAATCTCACTAGTGTTGGCACAATATGTTTACTCTAGCCTATAACTGGGTCTATCTTTGGGTTACAGTTCCACTAGGACCTATCGTATTCAGGCCTATGTCCTGGTCCTAAGAATGTAGACTTTCTTTCTTAAGTGCCTATTTTTTGTGGGATACAATATACAATTATTATACATATTTAACTTTTCCATTGTAAGTTTAAAGTCCTATTAACTTACAATTTCTGTTGATTCCAGTTTAACTTATCTAGGCTAACCAGGACCCATGCAGATAGGCCTAGGCCTAAGTTAGGCTAGCCTAGGCTACTTGTCTCTATTAGCCTAGCGTAGGCCTAGGCCTTCTTAAATTTAACAAGCTTAAATTTTTAATTATAGCCCTTAAATGACTTTGACAAGATCTTGGACATGTTCAGATTTAAAAATAACTCATCGGTACCGGTACCTAAAATGCATTTTAGGGTTTGCATGGATTTTTGAAATAATTTTTTTCATTCTACTCTAGATTCGACGCTGATTTTGAAAATGACGTTCTTTTTCCGCAGCAAACAACCATAACGCCCCAAAACGACAAAAAATATTTGTTTACTGTTTACAGTTTGTTTTGATAATGTTAAGTTACTCAATTTAACTGGAATATTAACTTAAGCAGATCACAAATAATCAAGAATCTTCTGAATCCGATGTAAAATAGGCGTGATTTCCAAAAATCTGCGATGCTATTTTGGATTTTTAATTCTCCCGACTAAGTTAAGTTAATTAGGTAGGTAGGCCTACCCATTAGTTCCCGTAAACCCTAGTAGTGGTCAACGATCGCGGGACAATCATTTGCCGTTGGTGCTTAGAATGGCCACGATCGTAAGGCGGTATGGGCTGAAATTAACTTATTTTATTTTAACGGTAAAAAAACACATATAGGTACCCAACTCAGATACCATTTGAAAGATCACATTTTGAACTTTCATTTTATTACGTAAACAAACCACCTGTAACTTACTTAGCAGGTATATATAGCAATGTCACGACAATTAGAAATCAAATGAATTTTTGGCGCGGCAGGACTTTTGCATTATGATTAAATGTTGGTTTGAAGTAAAAACATTTGGTACACAAGTTTTATAGGTTACTAAATACTATGATTTTTTTCACAAAATCGCTATATAATATAAAAACATTACGGTAGCTTATTTTATTTATAAATAAAAAATTATTTTTACCATAATCTTTATTGTTTTTTGGATTCCTTAGGCCTACTTCGTTAGCTTTACAAACATGTATACCCATATATTATTAGTAGGCTATACACATAGGCCTAACTTATATTATGCCCTATATAACTTTTTACAACACAAACTAACACTGTACGGTTTTAATTTTTTTCGGTTCTCCGTTTGTTAGCCTATTATATTTCGCCCCAAAAACTGACAAATAAACAAAATATTTTCCTAACATGTTGTAGCCTATATTTCTATACAGGGAATTAGCTTGTTTACAAAATGTATGTAGGCCTAATGAATTTTCCATTAAAAAATCTGTAGAAAAAATTTTACCGAGGCTGCTTTTGAAATTTCAAAAAAGAAATTTCTAAGTTAGGGTCAACCGGGGCTAATATGAACAAAAAAAGTAAACTTTTGACATTAACTCAAAAATGGTAAATGACAGAAGAAAAGAAAAAATAGTAGTGTATACAGCTCTTTTAGCTGAATCTATTTATTTACTAACAAAAACCATAAATGTAACCATTATTAAAAAAAAAAATTAAAAACCACTGTTCACATTAGCCCCGCTAAAAGGGGCTAATGTGAACAGCCCATGGGGCTAATGTGAACACTCTTAATAACTCTGTTATTTACAACACTAGGCATATGTGGGGGCTGTTGTGAACAAGCCTAGGGTCTAGTCTACCAGTTGCAATAAGTCTCAATATTTTATCTCAAATAGTTTTTGAGATATGAAGGTATCTTTGGAGAGCCGCGGGTCGCCCTACGGTAACCCTTTTTTTTAAAACCATTTATAAATATTATACAAGGCTAATAATAAGATATAAACAAGAAAAAAATTATCTGTCAACATACCTGAGTACCTATTTATTAAAAATTTCTTCCACATACAAATTGTTTAAAGCACTTAAAAAAACAATAATTTAAGACAATGGAAATTGTTCGTTTAGGCAAATGACAGTTTATTGCACTTTTAGGCCTATTAGGTAAATATAAAAATGTGGGCTAGGCCTATTCAACACCTTAACTGTTGTCTTTGTAAAATTAAAACTGTTTTATCACTGTAAGGCCTTCAAAGAAGTTTATTGAGGAACTTACGCCTCAAAAACTTCGACAATTTTGTCGAAGACATACTTATGTCTATCACTGGTTCCACATACATTAGGGGCTGGAAGTTTCCCCAAAATGTCAGTGGTAGAAACAATAAATATATCATCTTCTTTTTTCAGGAATGATTTTTTTCCTCATCACAGGATTTAAATCCCATCACTTCGATCTCCCCGTCAGCCTGAGCTTGTATATATAGTACAATATATACTGTATATATTGTTGTTCATAATAGCCCCCATTCACTGTTCACATTAGCCCCCCAACTTTGAAAGCTTATAACTTTGGCTGTTATTAATATATTTTAACTTTGGGAAAAGAAAAATAATCCCCAATTCTTATTTAACAAAATTCAGGCTTAAGATTATTCCTACAACCAATGTAAAAATTGTTATAACAAAAGTTTTCACTTTGCGCGGAAAAGTTTTTTGGGCGGAAAAAAAGTGTTTTAACAAAGTATTTTTTTAAAGTACCTAAAAGTCAAATTTGAAGTTTTCTCATTATGGACACAAAAAATACAATAAATTTCCTTTCTAATTATATTTTTTTCATGATTAAAAATCCCAGATAAATGACTTTTTAAGTCATTGTTCATATTAGCCCCAATATTTTGGTGTGTTCATATTAGCCCCGGTTGACCCTAATTCTTTTATTTTTTCACTTTACAAAAAAAAATACACTGTCTAAATCATTATTAGGCCTACCTATATTATGTACTATTTTTAGATTCTCCTGTTCTTTCCGAACAAAATACAAAATGAATATAAGGTTGGCTACTAGGTTTAATTGTACGGTTGAATTTTTTACGAATTTTCAAAAAAAGGACTGCAAAATCGCCAAAATGGAACGCCATTCCCCACTTCTAACATTGGCCACTGCTAGGTTTAAATTAGCCTTTCCTCCACCTAATTTCCGATGATAAACGACGTTAAAGATGTCTCCCCCACCCAAAACCCCGAATTCCCACCTGGCCCCTAGTTGGGGTGATTGCTGGTAGTATCACATTTTCATCGAAATCTCGCTTATTTGAACTAGCTGTTACCCATAAAATGTGACTTCATAAGTAGGCCTGGTAATAAAGCTATTGATTGGTTATAACCACATCTGATTTTAATAAGGTAATAAATTGAAAGAATAACATACAATTATGTACAGCTGAAGTATTTTTATTAACATTAGGTACCGGTACATGGAAAGTTCCCTTTGGAAAGCAATTACGACTTTAAAGGGCAATTTACAAAATAATGGATAGTTTTGCGCAAGATTTCTTGTAAAGACGAACATTTTAAGTACCGGTATATGGTTTATGGGGGTGTCACTTGTAGTTTTCTCAAAAGTTCATGGGGTACTTTTGGCTTTATATATAGATTTCATGCATTCGAGATCTGCTTAATATTCTGGTTAATTTGATTAGCCTACCCACATGACGTGTTTTGTAAAAAAACATTTTTGGTACCGCAGTTTTTCCGCGTTATGGTAGGCTAGTTTTCCTCGGAAAAAGAACATCAATTTCAGAATCAGCGTTGAATTTCGAGTAGAATGAAAACAAATTTTCAAAAATCGCAAATCCTAAAATGCATATTAACCAACTTAACTTACCGTAACTCAACATGTTACAGTAGCCTAAGTTAATGGCTGTTTTATTTAACTTAGGCTAGTCCAAGTGCTTTGTCCAGACACTTTGAGAGCTGAAACACAACCATGAACTGTTTCAGAAGCAACCAGAGGCTATTTTAAAAGCGATAGAACATCTTTTTAAGTTAATTGTAAAACAGCTGAAAATTCTAATTACTAAGTCTAATTACCACATTCGCCTAATCGGTCTGATTACGATTGGAGTGTCCAATCAAATTTGATCGAACCACTTACCTTACACCACTTTTATGTTACATTCTTGTGAGTAACAGTAAGCGTAAATATAGCCTATGTTTTGAGTGTTATAAGACGATTCATTTGTTTATAGTAGAAAAATAAGGCCTCGGCGCCAAAAAAACTTTTTGGAAGTTGTATAGTCCTCGCCACCCTAAGTTGAGGCAGCCCAAGGCCGCACGGCGTATATCTAGTGCGGCCTTTGGCTGCCTCAACTTAGAGTGGCGAGGACTTTAGTATTGATGTCCTAGAATAGTTTTAGAACATTTAAGCTGTGGTCTGGGTTCTGAATGAGAACCAATACTAAATAATGTCCTGAATACAAAAATGATTGTCGCTTTTTCTGGAAAAGTCAAATTAGAAACATGGAAAATTGGAAAAACCAAGTTAACTTGTGTAAATGTTACTTTAATTTTTGTATATCAAATCACCCATTTGTGGTATTGGATACAGTTCTGCTGAGAACCTGCGATCAATCTGTTTTAAAATATAAATAAGATATCCATTAACATGTTTGCTCCGACATGGCAACCGGTGGCGCATGAATGAAATTACAGCCAAAAGAAAACTTTTTTACAAATTACCATAGACTTCAAAGAAAAAAACAAAAGTGTGTTTATATAGAAATAATTAGATGTAGACCTAATCAATTTATCAACTGTACACTACTTGTACCGTTTCAGTAACAAAATTGGTTGAATAAATTATGCTAATTAAATTAAACCGTGTACCGGTACCACCCGTGGTGCACGTTGACCTATCATCATTTTGAAAACAAGTAGCCTACATTCTATGAAATTAAAAACAAAGCCTACTTTGAGCAGTAAAACATTACTTTTTAATTCAATTAAAAAAAATGTTTTTTTGTTAAAATTAATAAAAACCCATTTTTTGTAACTTGAATGGTGTTTTATTATTAATGTAACCTGAATTTGGTTTACGTACCACCCGTGGACATGTCCATGTGGCTTCTATAAACACAAACAAATAATAAAAACACTCACAAAGACTCCGAAATGACGTTTTGTTGCGTGCAATTACCATAGTAACGGTGTCCACTGGTGTCGCACGTCGGAGTTTTGGGGGTCACCACGTATACCGCCAGTGTTGCATGTTGGAGATTCCAAAAACTTAATAATTGGGTAATAAAGTTAACGTACGGTACTTAATTTGGTTCGTTATAAACTTAACTTTGTTGTCGACATAGCCTAACTTGTTTCATCCTGTTGATGAGTGTATTGTGTTGATGACATTTGAATGTGTTGATGTTGACTAAAATGTTTTACACTAAGTTAATTTTAGGCCATATTCATAATTTAAGATTTTTGCTCTGCCTTACCAGAAGACGTGCAATAGTTTTGCTGATCCACAAGGATTAAACATAAGTTATCTATGTAAAATATACAAATAACTTCATTTACGAAAGTAAAACAAAACTTAAAACCAGATAATATTTGTGGGCTCAGAGAAATTATTACCTACACCATTAAGTAAGATTTATTTAGAGCTAAAAATCTAGTTTGTAATTGAATTTCATATTGTCCAATCAATACTGTGACCATGGTATGCTAATTGTAAATAATACCCAAAACGTTTATTTTTTTGTTTCAGATATTCCTGACTGAGTGTGAAAGTATATTGAAATCGAGGACTAAGTTATAACCAAATCGCATGTAACTTACTATTGTTTTTATTTATAAACTGTACATATTTATTGAAGTTAAGGGATTTATCCCTTTGTGAGTGTTAGTGAAAGACTCGGCCAAGTTTGGCCATTGTTGCCCTGTTTTTGCAAAATAACTCTGTCAGAATGATGACCGAAAACAGCATGATGCTGGGCCAAAACCATGTCGGGACCCTGCCCAAGACACAGATGAACAATGGACAGCAAGCAATCGCTCACTCCAGTGCAAACTTGAGCAGTTCTAAACAGTAAGTGGAATATTTTATCACATTTGGTTGGGAAAGCTTTTAGTTTAATGCGTGTCAAATTGGAACTGTGCAAACCACACCACATAGCCTACCTTAAGTTATGAACGTTAACAACGTTTTGTATTTGGTACCTACATTTTACTATAGTTGATATCAATTCTCATCCGTCCAACCACATTAGTGTATTTTTACTTAGCTGTTTCATAAATATAAAATAAATAAGGCCTATGTTAATTTTAAATATCAAAAGTTAACTTAATCAAATCAAAAATGTTATTTGCTGTAAGTTAAACTTGAGCATAGATCTTAAACCACGCCTCCGCTCGATTGCTGCAGGATCTATGAGGTTAAGACGGTGGGAGTAAAAAGAACTCCCCGAGCAGACAGCAGACTACTGGTCCACCGGGAGCGTCAGAACATGGACACTTCCAAAACACGTACTATACAAAAACACATGACAACTTGAAACAAAATTAGTTGTGGCATTCGCCGGTGGATATGTAGTCACGGCTCAATCATATAATATATTAACAAATGACCCGTCGAACCCTTTTATGCATTATAGAAAGTATTATGTAACTTACTGATTAGCCTAGCCTATATATTAATTATTAGGCAATTATTAGGTTTTGTGTTTGAATTATTGGGTCCAATTCTTATTTGGATAATCAGGTATAGGCCCTACCTCGGTATTTCAGCAAAAACATCACTGTTAGTGTAAGTTAGGCTACAATAAAAAACATATGGTATGGTGGGTTGATGACTATAAAAATATCACACAGGATGATAAGAACAATTTTTTTTTTTTTTTGCGAACCAGCATGATCGGACTATGGGCACAGGGGTTTATGGTGTAAAAATGGGGTGTTTTCCCTTTTTTCACCACCTGGAAACATAAAATTTTGCTATTTCTTTCCAAACCATTTTGTAGAGCTCAAAAAACGTAAATAATTTTGTATATTGAAGTGTTGTTGTATGCCTAACGGTTACAGAAAAATTTCCAAAAAAAGTGTAAATTTAAAATTATCTTTTTTTATGGGGATTAAATTTAAACTGTGTAGCTTGCTTGATAGACATATTTTAATGAAATTGGAAATATTTGTTTAGGTACTTCACATACTAAGCTAGGCTATTAATATTTCAAACTATTCAATACACCTTACACATTCCTTGATATGTGTATTCTTGTATACTATTCAGTAGGTTTTACCGAATTTGTGGACTTTCACTCTAATTGTTATAGGAGAAACAAAACTTTAAGTAACAAATTAATAATTTTTTTACCATTTTGTTCAGGATAAAACTGTCTACTAAAAAATTGTAATTGGATAATCAAAGTTTAAACTAAAAAAAAATAAAATTATAAAAATTAAAATTATTTTTTTAAAGGAAAATTTATTTACAAATTCCAAGATTAGGCTAATCCAGACACCAAATGACACTATTATCATAAAGTTCTATTTGATTCCCTATGTAGAAAAATCACAAGTTGATTACTTTTATAAGTAACTGGTGGAATACCCGTGGCTTCGCTACTGGATATTTCAAATCAGGGGAAATTTTTAATTAATTATTAACTGTGTTTAAGTGCAAGATTGTCATAAAATAAATCACATAAAATAATCAATAAATTATTTTAATTTTTATATTTCATTTTACAATAATGATTAAAACTGCAGTAAAAAGTTTGTCCGTTATTCATACTATTTTTGATTAGCATATTTAAAGAATTTCACCTTCTTTTCTTTCACTTTTTTACATTCTTCACCTGTTTTTTCCTTTGTTTTGTCTGTGCACCTGCCACGCCGTTTATGCCTTGACATATTTTGTTGAGATTCCGGGATCGGCTGACATGGGAGAAACGAACGGGCTCTTTTTGTGGCTCTAAAACTTCAAAGTGCCCGCTAGACAGGAATTATGTAAATCTGAGTCTTTTCACGGGATTACGTTCATCACCAATCTTGACATATAATTCACCATTCCAATAAACCTCGAAAACAAAAGTGAATAGTTGTGAAACCGCAACCAGCTGACACAACCCTCTAAAGGTAAACGGCTTAGACATTTCATAGAAGTATTCCCTCTAATTAAGGTAATTATTCCACCGTCACTGTTGTGGGATAAGATCGAGAAGTAGTCCCAATTCCTCACAACATGTTCAACAATTGCTTCAACATGAACAAACACGCACCATCTCCTCTGATGTGAGTGATATTATGTGGAACGAACTCGCTATTAACATTTAAAACCTCAGTGTCCATAGGCCTACGATGAAACGGTTGAAACAACTACAAAAATATTTACAGAACTATATCATAAGTTCTAAAATGCAACAAAAAACTAGGCCTAAGTTAAATTCTACTTTCTTCAACACGAATTGCACATATTATAAGTTGATAAAACTAAAATTCCACAGTAAATTAGGTTAATTTCACTGACTCGCAACTATGATATTTAAATAAGTTCCGACATTGACTATACACATCTATCTATGTATAGTCAATGGTTCCGAAATAAGTGAAATAACCTTAGTACACTTAATTTTTATTCTAACAGCTGATGATTAAATAAATTGCAGACAACTACTGTCATTTCAAGTAGTTCTCATCTGCGATAATGTAAACAAATGCCGCTGCCGCAGCAAACCTGCAAACTGAGCGAATTTCCATTTGCCTGATTGGATTTACACTAAAATGTCTCCTAAAAAATATCACATTCATTCCTTATTTAAATATAATTACTTTAATGAGTACTTGGCTGCAAGAGGGAAGGTATTTTTTTTTCCTGTAGGCTAATATGTAATAGTTTAGTAAGAAATAAATGCATTTTCCAAATTTGATCAAAATATGTTCATAAACAAGCGAACTACAACAGTTTACTTATTCTCCATAAGAATAACATGGGGATTTTTAATTTACAATTATTTGGAAATTTTTCCGTTTTCCTTAGGCGCATAATAACGCTTCAATATACTAAATTATTTGTTTTTTAAGCTTTACAAATTGGTTTGGAAAGAAATTTCTAAATTTTATGTATTTTGGGTCAAAAATGGAAAAAAAACCAATTTTTACCCCATAAAACCCCCCCATAAACCCCTGTTCCCATAGTCTGATCATGCTGGTTCGCGCAGAGACATATTTCCGAATAGGCGGACTAGGCGCGTGCGTAGGGCGGCAAATTTTAGAGGCAGCGAAATTTTGGAAGATAAATTATAGAAAAGGACGTTTTAATCTTGACAAAAAAATTAATGTTGAGAAATTAATAAATTTGGAGAACTGCAAAAATTAAGTTATATTTTAAATAAATTGAATAAGTTGATTTAGTATAAAATGATTTCAGAACACATTAAAGTCAAAGTCAATAATTTATTATATGGCTGTGCCGTGTTTTCCGTGCTGCCCTGCCGGTCTGGCGGACTCGTTGCGGGCGTGGGCTGCCGGCCGCTGGATACAGGTAGTGTAGGCCTACCTCCCCCTGCTATCGTTTGTTACTACGCAGCAGCAGCGCGTATGTCATTGACATCTGTAATATAGGCCTAGACATAAAGTAGGAGAATCTGGTGATCGATCTCATCACTTATCAGACGTTGAAGATAGCTTCTTTGATGAGCTTGTAGGCCTACACCATAAATTAATCCTTTATTGAAAGTGTTAATGCAAGATTTGAAAAATAAGATGAAAACAAAAATTATATTAAACTCGAACTTGAAGTCATATGTCCAAGTAAAAAACCTAACAAAATCCCTCCGATAAGGCTTTTGAAAGAAATTAGAGAAGATCTTCAATCAGTTTGTCCAAATTTAGATGTAGCATTAAGGATATTTGCAAGCACAGCTTTAACAAGCTGCTAATCAGAAAGATCGTTTTCATGCCTTCAAAGGGCAACACATTATTCAAGAAGTCGATCTTCTGATGAAAGACTTAGTTAAGTAGCAGTCTTGAATATTGAAGAAATAACTGCTGAACTCCCTGGACTTAACTTGGACTTTTATTGATTTATTTTCTAGGTTGCAATCAAGGAGAAAAGTGTGAACTAACAACTAACTTAACTCATTAAAAATTGTATGTTATTCTTTAAAGTAGGATCTGTCATGGAATACTTATAACGCTTTTCATTGAACACTTTTAGTCAGATCCACTTACTTTTTTATACTAACTTTTTTTTTTTGATTCATTTAGTTTTAAAATATAACAGTTTTGTAAATAACAGTATTTGTGATTGTATATCTGACTAAAAGGGTTCAATGAACAGCGTTATAAGAACCCTTGTCTACGGACGTTTTTGTGTGCCGTTTACGCATCGCAAAACGCAATTACGACTTTTTTGATTGGATACAACAACATTGTAAACAATGTGGCAATTGCCGATTACTTTTCTACAAAAACAGCTGGAAGGGCATGTTTTGGGGTAATCTTGTTGTGGTCGGTTAGCGCGCTAACGAGGGTGGGGGAAGGGGGCGGCTAACTTAGCTGCCTAGAGGCGGCAGATAGTTAAATACGTCCCTGGGTTCGCGAACTCGTTTGAATAAATGTAGGTTTAAACGTTTATACCAAATTTAATCAAAATCGGGATCATTTTTGCTTGAGTTATTGTGCTAATGGACATATACAGAGGGGTGTAAAAGTAGGTATACAGTACGAATATGCAAAAGGTTTGAACACACGAGGAAGTGAGTGTTTTTGCCTAGTACAACATTTTTAAGAGTTAATTTAGGTGTCTTAATACTCTTAAAATAAATTGGAATTTTTTAAGTTTGGGTTTTGTATAAATTAATATATTTTTTCTATAAACAGTTTCTTACTGTATATCTACTTTTGCACCCTTCTGTATATATTGATTTGAACAGATGGTGTTTTTGGCCCCTAGGGACCTCAAAACGAAAAGTAAATCGGTCCTGGGTCCAGGACTTACCATGAGTACCACGGTAATAGCTTATTCCCTATAATGGGAAATTCGCTAAAAACCCAAAACAAACTATTCTTCCTGTACGAACTCCATGC